CCACATACCCATGAACCTCTTTACCAATGAACCCCAAAACAAACTGTGCCAAAGTCCATAATATGATCTGTATTTGCACCATGTGAAAATGACATCTGTCTGAATCTGTAGAGCACATCTCATGGATGTAGCAGCACCATTTATGTTTCATAACACAAAATATAAGTGAAGAGCATATGGGGTTACACTCAGACGTGCCAAATAAGACACATGGCCTTCAACATGAGTTCATGTTTATTTTCTACTTTATTGTGTCAGTTTGAAACCATACAACCATGTAGTGTAGTCGAACAGGAATGTGCATGGCGAATCAAATCCCAAACAATCCATGAACCAATAAGTGACACGTCTCGATTGCACTTTTTTTATTGACCACTAGATGTCCTACTAGAGCACTGTGTCATTGAGGCCTCGAGTGATGAACCATTTTTGTGAATAATGTGTCGAAGCTTCAACAATGCCTCGATCAGCCATCACTAGTTGTATGTAAAGGTTAGGTATTGTTTGACATTGGACATATATAATTGATCAATGATCATGCACATTTGATTAATTTTGTATTGTTAATATGTGTAAAAGTTACCGTGTTTCCTGGTCCGTGGATGGGGGGAGGTTCTGACAAAACATTGTACTGTGGAAGCAGCAGGTTTAAATACCTCCCGGTAGTGATGGGAAGTTCGGATCATTTTACTGATTCGGTTGTTTGAATCTCGTTCAGGAAAATGAACGAATTCTTTTTTGAGTCATTTTGTTCACTTCAGCAGAATGTAATTAAAATGTTACATCTTAATTCTCCATCTACTTACGCACATATTGATCACGTTTCGAATACGAAAGAACTGTAATGCAGCCAAGGTCATATTATAAGTAATATGGTACCTGTGTCTTGAGGCTATGTAGTCTGTTACTTCATCACCTCACCTCCGGATATTCTGGGTCAAATTCGTTTGGTCTTTTGTGACTAACATCCTAAAATAAGCTATGCCATTTTCTGTATAACCAACAGAATTATTAATCTCCCGGGCCTTCAGTTCGAGTCGTTCGCGCATCACGTGACAGCCCCACAGGTTAAGGCAATGCAGTCTGAACCAGAAACAGAAAAGGTTAGTTCACCTTTGGAGTCCTCGGGTTCGAGACAGTGACCATTAGTGACAAATTTCTGATTTGAATATCAGATCAGTTTTTCTCTGCTTTGGTCTTTAATGGTGCTTCTATAAATGTCCTTCTGTTCTGCTGACTCAGAAGTAAGTGTGTTTAACAGGCTTTGACTGGCACAGTATTGTGTATATTTTCCCTGGAATACTTGAAGCATTAATATAATGTTTTTTTTTCATTTATTGTGACAAAATAAAACATTTACAAGGCAAAGGACATAACATAGATGAGACAGCAGACATTAACAAAGGAGACAACGGGATTATTAAATTAAGTTAAGGTGTGTGTGTGTGTGCAGGGTGGGTGTATCCAACTCTGTGCAGACTGATATTCAGTACTTAAAGAAATATTATACCAAATACATTAAGAAATGCGGGAAGAATAAAGTGATTTCAATCATATAAATACAATACATAC